CTGCATTTGATAAAGTATGGCGAATAGGGTTGTGGAAAAAGCTTGTTAAATACCACCTTACGGGGAAATGTCTTAAAGTTATTATTAATATGTATAATGATTGTAAATCTAGAGTATTTTATAATAATGATTTTTCTGAATATTTTTCCTGCCGAAATGGAGTCCGACAGGGAGAAAATTTGTCTCCTCTTCTCTTTGCATTGTATCTTAATGATTTAGAAGAATTTTTAATACAAGAAAACGTGATTGGATTGAACAGCCTGTCTGAAGAAATTGAGCAAATGTTAGATGTATATTTAAGAATTTGATTATGCTCTATGCAGATGATACTGTATTGATGTCTGAAACTAAGGATGATCTTCAATATCAACTCAATTGTTTTCAAAAATATTGTGAAAAATGGAAATTACACGTAAATATTGATAAAACAAAAATCATAATTTTTGGTAAGGGCAGACAACCATCCAACGTAGCATTTACCTATAATAATAATGTTATTGAAATTGTAAAAGAATTTAAATATCTAGGAGTGTTTTTCTCAAGAACTGGTTCTTTTTATAGCACAAGAAAATATACTTTACAAAGAGCAACCAGAGTTATATACGCCATAATTAAAAAATCACGAGAATTGAATTTGTCCATCGATTGTCAAATTGATATGTTTGATAAAATGGTTATCCCTATTCTTCTTTATGGTTGTGAGATATGGGAATTTGAAAATGTGAACATTATTGAGAAACTTCAACTCAAATTTTGTAAACTTATACTTCATCTTAAGACATCTACTCCAAATTATATGGTTTATGGTGAGCTTTGCAGATATCCATTGAGTATAAATATTAAAATGAGAATGATAAAATTCTGGGTAAAACTGTTGCAATGTAAAGAGACAAAATTGTGTCATATTTTATATAATTTTTTATATAGCTCATCAATGCACAACACTGTTAATTGTAGTTTTAAATGGATTGAATGTATACGAAGTATTTTACAAGAATGTGGATTGAATTATGTTTGGATGACGCAGAATGTTCACAATGAAAAATGGTTGTTGATTGTAATTAAGCAAACGCTGATTGATCAATTTAAGGAGGTTGGATCCTGACATCAAAAGTAATGAGAATTTTTTATCAAGTATATTTTTAGAATTTATACACATAGCTTAATTAAAAATCAAAACAAAAAATTGGGGTCAATGCGCTTCTTTTGGCGCTACGGAGCATTTAGTTTGACCTTTTTGCACTGTAAAAACGTCTTACACATAAATCATTTTTTAAAAGTTTTTCCTCCGATATTTTTTATTCAAATAAGTTATGGGAACAAACACAGTCTTATTTCATCTTGAATAGACCCATTAAAATTTTTGACAACGAAATTTTTTTTTAATTACTCCGCACGTTCAATTATTTGACCTTTTTGGACTCAAAAAATTTCATTTTGCTAGCATTACAAATTTAACAAGCAAAAAACTCATTTAAAAGTAATGACATTTTACTGAATTTAAGAAGAATGGTTAAAAGTATCTTGTATATTCAGAAAAGAAAGTTAAAACTGGGGGTCTGTAATGTTAATTTTTAGATATTACTAAAATAGTGCTAATTTTGAGCTTAAATTAGGGCTATTTGTTTTTCTTGATTTTCACAATATATTTGATTTATTTATCAAATATGATGATTGAATTCATGACAGTTTATTAAATATATAATTTAGGACCAGTATAAAACAGTTCACTGCTCAAAATAATTCTGTGTGCAGACTGCATGTAAAAATAGGAATCCAAACTTAACATACTTTAAATATTTCGAAAGAGAAAAAATGATCATTTTCTTCTAAAAAAATCCTTCCGCCACAAAATATAGTTCCTCACTTAATGCTTTTGGTATGGAATTTAATCATGGAGTTTTAACTGAATGTAGTTTAATTGGCATTGTAGAACCCAAATTTATTGTAAGAATTAAAACATTACGCAGATTTTTTTAAACATAGGTTAAAATAAAAATCTGCTCAAAAGCTCAGGAGCGAACCTCGTTAAACAAAACCGGAATTCAGATTGTAATACATCTGGTAAAGGCAAAATTTATAATTAGTTCACTAATAGTATTTTTACAACTAGAAACTATTTAAACATGAATGTGTCAATGAATATTATAACTACATTAGCAAGATTTAGAACTAGTAATCATAAATTACCAATCGAGACAGGCCGATTGAGCAATATACCCTCAAATCAAAGATTTTGTACTTTATGTAATAATGATACTGGAGACGAATACCATTATATTATGTCATGTCCTGCTTTTAACGATTTTAGAAAATTGTATTTACCTTCAACATATATAAGTCGACCAAGCGCTTTTAAGTTTTTAAATTTATTTTCATGTAAAAAGGTATCTGTCATCAATAACCTTTGTAAATTTATCAATATAAATAATAAGAGAGTTACCCTTCCAGGTTAATGTAAACTGTACACTCTTGCATCATGTATTTTGTTTGATATCGTTGTTCTATTTTCTCTATGTTGTTTTATACAATGTGAGAATAAACTGAATTGAATTGAATGGTTATTAAATTTTACCAAAAGAAAAGATGAAATGGATAGTCGATTACGTCATTTGTCAAATTATTTATTAACATTAGTTGAGTTTGAACATCAACCCCTCCTAATGTGGTGTAAAATTCAAAAAGAATTTTAGACCATCTGGTCAAATAATGTTTAAATTTTTTACCCCAGTAGCCTTTTGTAATCTGCTATGAAAAAATGACAATAAAATTTAGCAATATATAACTAGTTTGTAATAATACAGAATTCGAATCAATGAAATGCATGTTAAGTGAACTATAATTCTTCCGTAGAGTTTTTGTTATTCTCACAATCTAACTTTGATCCGCTCTTACTCGATAGCCAAACAAAGTTTGTATTTAACGAGTATAACTTTTTCAAAGCTTCTCCGTCTATAGCAACAACCTTAAACTGTAAACTATCATACACTTATTGTTGAGTACTGTAGATCTTGGCTTTTTACTTCTTCGACAGCTTTTTTAAAAAGACTTTTAAAAGCTCTACCATATAAATGAAGGAAAAAGAATTATCACACATTAATGATTTCAATGTTTGCATGCAGAAAAAGAACTTCCTGTTAATAATGAAAGTATAGAAAAACTTAATTATAGTTCCTATAAAAAATTAAAAGTGTCAGTTTCGAATTCATTTACTTTAATTTTCTTTTGTTCGTTTTGTCGATTTTTTAAGATTGAAAATCTTGAAAAATTGGTAAGTCGTACGAAAAATAGATCAGAAAAAATTATCTCCCTTGCCTAGCACGGCAATTAAACCAATGAAATATTAGGACTTATTATCCTAAAGGCATAATGTTGAATTTAACACCATATCAGTAAAAATTTTGCATCAAAGTCATAGTATTTCATGTTGTTTCTAGTGTCATAATACCATGCATCACAAAATTGCATTGAAACTTAACTTCTCAGATTGTTACTTCACATTAATGATAAAATTAAAACATTAATTTTATAATGTGAAGGTTACTTTAGTTTTCCAGGGCATCTACGTAAAGCACTTAATGTATCGATATAATGTAGCAAGTTTAACAACTGTCTGTAGCTTACAATTTACTGCAATATAAGATATATAAATAAACTTTAAAGAATATATGCTGCGTGCATTTAAACAATTTAAAATGTTTTCTTTGTTTGTTATAAAATATTTTTTGGTCATAGCTGCAACCGTTGACTTCCGTAATAAGGAACCAAAAAAGACATTTTATTGTTTATATTTATGCCTATATAAATAATCATATAAAGTAAGTTTAAGTATTATCATTGGAGAAAATTACGATCAGTATTCGAGCTCAAAAGTCCATTCAAACAATACAAATCAGGAGCAGGGCAAACACGGACCTCTAAAACAGTAGAGATGGGATCAGGTGCCATGGAGGAGTGAGCATCCCCTGCAGACCGGTCACATCCGCCATGTGCTCCTTGTTATGATCGGTAAATAACGGAAAAATTCCTGTGGGGGCATTCGTGGCATTGTGTCACATCTAGTGTTTATTTCGTGGTCGGGAGGTTTATTTAAGGAATCATTGTCTAATTAGTAGAGTATGCCAGGGCATCAACGATAGTTGGAAACGTGGGATAATTTGCATAACGGGCGAAGCCCGTTATGCATAAATTATCCCACGTTTCCAACTATCGTTGATGTCCCTGGCATACTCTACTAACTAGACAGTGATTCCTTATATTTCCATTTCATTGTGAAATAAAATTGTTAATTTAGATTTTAAAAATGTAGACTAATAGATTTTAAATTACATATGACCTCACATGTCAATTTCAATAGTCCCAGCCCACTGACGTCACACACAAAGACAGCCGCACGAGAATTACATGCATATTAGGCCTTTTTAGCTCCGGACCTTTAGCTTGGCCAAATTTGCATTCCGGTAGAATGATCAAGAAATCAACTCTTCTTACTTTCAAAAAGTTATCACAAAGAAAACAAATAGAAATGGAAATATTTCATGATCACTAATTTTATTTCGGCGCCACATATTTTCATTTCGTGGACAAGATTTTTTTAAAAATTTTTTTATTTCTTGTAAAAAAAAATCATAGAATGTATTAAAGCTACCGTACATATATATACCAGTTGCTGTCACCGTACAAAAGAAATATTTACTTCTTGATTGTCAATCAATATGAAGTTCAATAATTTCTGTATTCCAGTATTTCTGGATAAGATATAAAAAAAAAACTCAAACGCCTACAATATTTGATCTTCCTAAAATATTAAATACTAAGACAAGCCTTAAAAAACATTATTTTACTCTTTATCTGAGAAAATGGCACATTTAAGCATTTAAATTAAAAATTTAAGGATGAGCAAAAAATGTATGTGCAAAGCATTTGTAATTCAAAAAGATTTAATAATTATATACAAAATCTATACAAAAAATATTTATACAGAACTTTGAATTCTCTCGTTAACAGTAATATTTTCTGCTGCACTGAAATTAGATTTAGGGACTATTTCTTTCTTGGATGCATGTAATTCTTGACAAACAATCGATTTTCATAACTTGTTGGTGCCTTTTCTAATTTGCTTCACACTGTCAATTCCTCTGATCATGTCTGCTGCTTTCTCTGCAATCATGATCGTCGGGGCGTTTGTATTTCCGGAGGGAATGTTGCGCATGACGGAAGCATCGACTACTCTTAGATTCTGTATGCCAATGACTCTAAAAAAAAGTATTGAATCAAAAATGACTTATTTACGGAAGTCCATTTAGGAACTATCAAAAACATTTTTTGAATTCGATATAGGCCTAATGAATTATCAAATTCGTAAAACGAATTTAATTCGTTATATCAATGTTTTGAGATCAATATAACGAATTTAATCTGGTTAAAACGAATTTGTTGAATTCGTAAAAACGAATTCAAACACTTGTGTAGATGATGATGCTGTACATTTTACATCACATTTCATAGTGGCTGAGAATGTACACGGTTTTCAAAAGTATCTGTTATGTTTTGTGTATTATACATAACTGCATTACTAGTATACTTTCACCTAACTAATTAATTAGTTTTTAAAATCTGATTCGTGGAGATACGTTTGTTAAAAAACTGTGTAATCCATCAATGATACAGTTTTTATCATTAATGTATGATACCATTCATCATCATTATGTTTTCTGCAAGTTTCTATATAACCAATACCCAACTACTTTTGTATAGTGTTCAAATGATTTATGTAGGGCAAGCATACTAATGCCCAAATAGCGCATGGCTTCTTTTTCTAGACAAAATCTGACAACACTTCGACTTCACGACCTCGAGATCCTTGCCACCACGTGTCAAAATCCTGACTACTATTTTTGCATAGTACATGCAAAGCACACGAACTATAACATGGTATCTGGTTGGTCAATTCCATACTCGATTTGGTTTTGTGTCGTCAAATTTGAATTTTACTAACCAGGTATCATCCCTTACCACGTCACTATATAAACAGCTTTTTTAACAGTATATGTAAATGATGAAGAACATTTAAAGTAGGGCTTAAAGTGCCTTGAGCTCTCCATAAACGAAAACTGTTAAGGAGAAAAAGATATCATCAGTATTGAGTAACGTTTAAATCCTCATACCTAAGCTGTGGATCCACGACTGCGGTGGGATCAGCAGGTGGCCCCATTCTACAGGTGGAGGTGGGGTGATAACCGGAGTAGGTATAGTGCTTAATTCTGCATGTCCAGTACTCATCCGAAGGGTACGGTAGATCGTTACAAGGGGGCAGGTACTCTTCATAGGGGTCATTGGGAGAGGCACCTATTGATCTAAATGCTGATGTATTTGCCAATTTCAGAGTTTCCATTATTCCTACAATAGACAACACTTTTATTTGTAAAGAATGGTGTTGATAGTTTTCGGATTAAGTTTGAATCCTACATAAATGACATGCAGAGTAACACTAATAATCCCTAAATTCTCTTATGCCGCAAAACCATTCATCATAGGTGTGAAATCGTTCATAAATATGTAAAATAATTCCTAAGACCACGGAACATAAACGTCATTTCCATCTGTATCAGTCAAAATGATAGACAATGGGCGGGAACAGTTCGATGCGCGGTCGTCTGAGAAAACATTAGATTGATATTCTAGTTCGAAATTCATTTTCAATCTTGGGCAACGATTTTCGGGCAAAGAAGTGTGAAATTAATGAAATTAAACCTATTTACTTGCCTTTTAATATTGTTTCCATGTCATCTGGATGATCTAAATAATTAGGATCAATCAGGGGCGGATCAAACGCATCTTTGCTCTTCAGTTTAATAAATCCTCTGCTTTTTGGATGGAGAAGAAAATTGCCTATCATGAAGGTCAGTATGTTTTTGGTGTTGAGTTTTTTTAATCTCGCTTCAATACCTTGTCTTATCTAAATAAAAAAAATACTGATAGAATATTGATTCTTTTTTCTACAATACAATAAAAGTTTTATCTTTTTGGTCAAAGCAGAATTAGGGTAGCTCGAAAAAGTAATGTAAAAAGTTCGCAGGTATGTTAAGGCAGTACCCAGATCATATTTCGGCGAATTTAGACTTTTTTCGTAAAATGTAACATTGATAAATCGGAAAAACCATAGATAAATCATTTACTATTATTATCCATTGTATAGACGTCATTGAGTCTTAGGCTAAAAGAAGCACTCCACTACGACGTCATCACGTGACGTCTATAAATAGAAAAATTGCCTTAATGAAAAAGTGAAAAGTTCAACACTACCCCGGAGATAATTCATTTCTTTTAGTGAAAATAGTTATGTAAAAACATCACTGGGCCATGAAAAGTGCTGCTAGAATCCTACTCTCCTGACACAGAAAAAAATATTCCAAAGTTTCGCATGAAACCTTACCAAAATTTTTACATTTTATACATACGATCAAGGAATTTTTATCAATTCATGTTAACCACACGATTCTAACAGCACTTTCCAAGTACTATAGAATACAAGCTTTCGATACAAACAAAAATTATATTTCAAAGTATGCGGCGTAGTGTTGAACTTTTGCATCCTTGTTGTTATAGAACGACAGAGGAAAGGCTGATCGGGATTTCAAAGCACTGACTATGTTCATTATAAGAAAACATGATAAGAATATATCAGCGTACCTGATTCTTAATCTTTAATTCCTTATGAATCACACATACATGTAACATTCATGGTATATGCCTTAAAACTCCCATTTTATATATTTGTTTACATGAATTCTCATTTCACTCGGCAAATATTTGATCAATGGTTATGTAGTGGTTTAGATTTCTATTTCATAGCCCTCGTTTCGTAAATTATATTTTGCAAGTATTTGTTGGTATTTCAGGCTGATAATTCTATTTACCTTATGTTTTCAGTTGTTACTTACGTAAAACCCCGTTATTATTTGTCTTTTATAAGTTAGGACATGTGTTGACATTCCACATGTTTTACTTTTTAAACAGGAAGTGTCATCCATGTTGGGAGTCTTTCCATAGTACTTTTGGTAGCTGTGTTCTGATTGGTTAAGTTAGTTGTAGGATCTTTGATGTTTATTGGCTTTTATTTTTGGGCCTATAGCTAGGGTATTTAAAGCCGTGTTCGTGTAGTTTTCTTCACTTGGGTTGGGAACACAACCTCATGGTTAGTTCCTCTTTACTGTGCTAAGAAAACCTCATGGTTTATGAGCACTATTTGATTAGTACCTTAGAGTGCTAAGAAAACCTCATGGTTTAACAGTACTCTAGGTCTTAGCTAGCTTTAGTTTCATGTTTTTCACAAGTTCTAGGTTTTTGTTAGGAAACGGTTAGGATGTAGGTTTTATAGAGTTAATTTAGTTTTCCCCTTTCCAAGTCCAGCCTGGTCTAGGGATTTGTAGATAACAGGTATAATTCCTAGAACCACTATTTACTATTTATTTATTTATTTTTGGTGTTGTTTATTATCTGGGTTAGATATTTTTAGAATCGAGATTTAGCATTATTATTTTAAGTTCAACTCTAGAGTGTTGATTAGTAGAGTTCATATTGGGTGATGTAGCTCATTTCCCTTACATTTTTCCAAATCATTGACATTTATAGCAGTTTTAAATAGGATTTTTGACCTTTTTCATAAGTATGGAAACTCGGTAGGGACATAAATTATTTTCATAGGTTTTTCACATTCCTCCCATTTTTCCTATTAAATTTTTCACAAACTTCTTATTTTTTTATTGGGATTATTGTTATTCACTTGCCAGATTAAATTATATTTTTGATAAAACTATTTATTCCTGTGCAATTTTGAAAGACTTTATTCTTGTTTAAATTTTGACTATTATTTATTATTTGTTATCATTTACAAAGGTTAATTCTCACTTTATTAAATTTATAAAACTTACAATTAACTGTGTTTTCATTTAGCGTTGATCATAGTTCAGATATCCCCTCACCTGGGTTGACAATCATAACTGGAGGCAGTTTACTGCTTTAAGCCAAGTTGGCTATTAACTTTGTTAAGTTATCTATTAAAGAGTTCTACTTCCGGTTACATAATTTTTGGTGCCGCGTGACCAGGATATCTGAATAGAAACCATGACTTCGCAAAATTCAGGTTCTGATAGCATAGGAAGAGCTACATCAACCCCTAGAGTTGATAGGTTAAGTTCTAGTCAAGGTGCTAGAAGTAAGCTTATGACAAGAGTCAATCAGCCCTCTTTGTCCTCTCCTGTGAGTGAGATTGAGATGCATGAGAGTGTATTAGATACTAGCATGAATTCACAGATTTCAGATTTAGAACAAGTGCTGCAGGACCTCACTACCGACTATGAGAGATGTAAACATGAGTTGGAGAAAACTCTAAGACAAAGACGTCATGTGTCATTTCCTGAAGGTTATGATAGGGGCATGAGTGAAAAACAGAATGAAGTTGCAAGAGATACAGTGACTCCCTTAGATAGAGTGAGAGAAACAGAGAGTTTGAGTACCTCACCTGCACAAATAAAGTTTGCACAGAGTGACAGAAGTGAGAATCTCAGTAGGTCACAGACAAACATGTCTACACTGCCCAGTACTCCTGTAAACACCAGTAGACCTAAACGTAAAGAAAAAGAACCAGACAAGTTTGATGGAAGAAATGTAGCATGGTAGGATTACTTAGTTCATTTTGAACAAGTGTCCGACTGGAATAATTGGTCATATGAAGAGAAGTCTCAGCAATTAGTTATGTCATTAAGAGGGGAGGCACAGAAAATTCTAGGTGACCTATCTCAAGAACAGAGAAAAGATTATGACAACCTTAAGTCCATTTTATCTAGCAGGTTTTGTCCTAAAGAATTAGTTGTTGCACATAGAGTAGAGTTTAGATCGCGTCTAAGAAAACAAAATGAAAGCCCTTCAGATTATGGATTTGCACTTAGGAGGTTAGGAAACTTAGCTTTCCCAGACATGGCTTATTCTGATAGGGAAA